TATATATGTTTATATATAAATGTAGTCTACAATTTACCCATCAATACAGGGTATTTTAAATGTAATATAAAGTAATTTGTATCTAGTCCAACAGACTAAACAGTATTTCAATACATATTACAATAAGAATATTAAAACATTTTTACTATTTGTTATAACCACAAGTAATAATTTTGGATATCATCAATTAAATATCGATTCTTTTTCAGATAAATCTAAATTCAATAATTTTTAAATTCCACATTTGACTAACATGATTATATGCATCAATGATAGCATAAGTCAATAGCTTACAATTCATCACTTATTTGGTCAGAATTCATATAGTCTTACCTCAGTTCCTTCAAAAGGAGGTGGATCTTTAGGTTTGTTAGATTTTTCTTTTTTTTCTGTAAAAAGGTTTTTTTTTAATTAAAGACAGGTTTTTAGGGCTTTAGAGAAGTTTTTATTTATTGAGCATCTAAGTTTAATGCTAGCTAAACTAGAAACACTAAGACTAACTGGTTGATAAAAGTTATGTTTTCAAATGTATAAAAAATGCATACCTATAACACATCCATCTATTCTAAAGACTATCTTGTAGAGGATTAACTAAGAAAATTCTTAACTAATTTGTACATTATGTTGGGTAGTGACAACTTTAAGTATTCTTTATTTCTCTTCCTAATTCACATTTAAAGTGTAAAGAGGTAAATTACGAAGGCAAAGAAAAGGGAGTAATTTAACAATCTGGGAGCCAGGGAGATGGTTCAGTAGAATAAGCACTTGCCTGGCAAGTGTAGGGTCCTGAGTTCAATCCCCAGTGATGAAAAAAAAAAAAAAAAAGTATTTAAAAGCTAAAATAATGTGTAAGTAAATGGTTTTGCTCTGACAAAAGCTCATAAATTTAAAAACAAATATTCAATATAAATATTGATTTACTCAACTCCTAAGTAGGAGGTGTCTAATGGTACTGTACGCATCTTTGAGCCATTTGTTTTAGTGAATTATTTCATTAAAAACATAATTTTACTTCCTAAAAAAAAACTATTGAGGATACTTTACTAGCTGAACTTGATGGCACACACCTTTAATACCAGCTATCTAGGAAGCAGAGGCAAATGGGTCACAATTTTGAGCACAGTTTAGGTAATTTAGTGACATTCTGTATCAAAATAAAATAAAATAAAATGAACTGGGGGGTATAAAGTGTTTGCTCAGTTTGTGAAAGGTCTTGAGTTCTAGTAATTTGCAAATTACTGCCTGCATATAAGTAAGTAAATATTTTTGTGATCTGGCTCAAAAAACTAAGCAATGCTTGTACATTAAATCTGAAAGCATCAAAATTGATTCTATAAATAGCAAATGCATACACAGAATTTACCTTTATTATTTTTAGAGACAGCAGCCAATCCAGATGAGGTCATATAATCTCAATAGCTAAATTTTACCTCAATCAGATAATTTATTATGACAGTAGTTATAATTAGAAAATGAAAAAAAATCACTTAAGATAATGAATCACAAAATCAAATACTGTTTTCTTTCAATCACTTTTAGGGCAAGGATTCTGCCTGCAAAATATCAAATACCATGTAGAAAAATGCCTTCACATTCCTTTAATTCCAAGAGGGGAGAAATACTCATTTGCCATGAAAACTCAGTGACAGGAGTTTCCCTGGCTTAAAGCCATTTACTACAAATGCCTTCAGAATTATTAATTTGGCACCATGAAAAATCAATTTTAACAATATTGTAGGACACTAAGTATACATATCTTAAAACATTACAAAATCTAATTTGCTCTTTAAATGTATTCGAAGATGCTATCATATAATTTGTAGACATCTTAATAAGAATATTCTTTTATATATTTAATCTTTTCTTGCTAGTATTTTCACAGCAAGATAGCATTTACAAATAATAAGTATTGTATATACTCAGCACTGCATGATTAGAAGCAATCAAGTTCAAGTGACTACTTTTTCTTTCATTTTTTTCTTAATCTTTTATTTATTCGTGTATTTGATACAGGATTTCATTACACAGCTCAGACTCCCAGACATCCTCCTGTCTCTGCCTCCCCAGTGCTGGGATTACAGGCTTGCACCACCATGCCTGGTTTCCGTAACCAGCATGGTGTGGGGTGCCAGCAAAGCATGCTGTCCCAGGGATCGAACCCAGGTTCTTGTGCTTGCCAGGCAGGTGATCAGACTGCTGAGTTATCTCCCTGGCCCCACTTTTTCTTTTAAATAAATGTATACCCATTCAGTTTATTTGACAAAACACACTGATCATACAATATGTGTAACATAAGTATATATTAGGCATACGTCGTTTAATTTTGTATAGATAGGCAGAGAAGACAAGGGCCAGTGAGATAACTCAGTGGACTAAGCACCTTTAGGCAAGTGAGGCGATCTCTTGTAACACCCCAGGACTCACTGAGCTGTTACCGAGTCTGAGTATGGTGTTGGATGTCTGTAATCCCAGCACTAGGGAACCTGAAAACAGAAGGATCACTATGAGTATGACCTGCCTAGTGATACCCTATAGCAAATACATTGAAAAAAAAGATAAATTTTTTAAAAGTCCAAAAATTTTATTCATTTTCTATGTTTAGTCTAATCAAAATTTCAACACTGATTTGTTTTTCTGAAAGTACTATTATTTTAGAAATGAGCAAGGTTAAACAATTATAAATACAGTGAAATGAAATTCAATAATTTGTGATATTTTCCATTTTAATACTTGTCTTTGTTTTGCTTTTTGATTATATGAAAATATCTTCAAAATAATCATTGTCCTAGCTCCAGTATCTTACATAGTGTAGTTGTTTTATAAGGAAACTGAAGATAGCTGAATGGCAACAATACAGATTGTGAAATTATATATTTTCCCTAAGGACGATTTGCAAAAATTTTATTTTCAGGGTAATCTAAGGTAGACAGATACAGATCTAAACACATACACAGATACACTTAAATAATTCAATTATTATAAACTAAATATCAATAAGAAATTTAGAAAATGTAAGTCTAGTAGTTGACGCAGACAAAGAGGGTCTTCTGCCCTAAATTCTCTATTAGTCTACAATCAACATGAAAGAGTCCTTTCTTAACTCTTATTTTACTGTATGCATACACACAAACACATACACACACTGAAACAGAATCAGACCATTTTATGCAGAAGCATCAAAGTTGGCATTTAGAAAGCTAGTATGTTTATTCTTTCATTTGCTTACTTGCTCTTAACATTGGTTAAAAATAAAACCTTTCAATACTCAATTTTCTACCCCCCCCAAAAAAAAAGGGGGCCGGGGAGATGGCTCAGTGGAATAAGCGCTTCCCTGGCAAGTGCAAGGACCTGAGTTCAATCCCCCGTTCCACCAAAAAAAAAAAAAAAAAAAAAAACACCTCAATTATCTAAACTATAATTTAATAATTCATGATTTGCATTTAAAAAGATTTCTACTTACCTTTTCCTGACAATGAATCCCGACGGTTCTGCAGGTAATACAACAGCTGTTCTACTTCATTTAGTTTTGAAGGATGAATAAGTTTACATTCTTCAACTACCTTTCGTGCTAGGGAAGTTATATCTGTGTTGGCATTGAGACCCTTCAGGCGAATACTGCAACAAATTCAATTTCCAACTCAGACAGTATAAAGTACATAATAAATTCAATACTACTTTAATATATAGGTTATACAGTCCACATGCACTTGACTATAGAATCTTAGCAAATAAATGTTATTTCCAATTAGGCTTAGAAAAATAAAAGGCAGTGCTTTTCTTTCTCTCTAGGCAAGTGGGCATTTTTAGAAGTTCTATTTTAAAGAAGGACCTATATATTTTTTTTTTTTCCAGGTATTTAGCACAGGGTCTGCAGGGTCAACAGTGATAGGACATCTAGTGATTCTCCTGTTTTCAGCTTCCCAAGTGCTGGAATTACAGGTGTGTGCTACCATGCCCATTCTCAATCGCCAACTCAGCTTGCCCTGTGGGCAAATAAAGCAATTTTTAAAAATGGTCTTTATCCTTATTGTATTTTAGAATCCATACTAGCACAAGTGAATCACTGTCTTTCACATTGCCCACAACTGTTCATTTCTTTTAAGTTGGGAAAAGAGATTGTTATTTTTAGATTTAGTACTGTGGTGGCAATCATACACTCAGTAGAACGAAAAGAAATACTCCAATATGCATTATAATATCTTCAAGAGGAATTTTGTGGAAAAAATACATTTATTTTATGTTTATTTTATTCCTCTCTTTATTTTCCCTCCCTTCCTTTATAAATTTAGGAAATTCATTGGAACTCAACAAGAAAAGCAGGTTCAGAGTCTTTTTTTTTTTTTTTTTTGCCAAAACTGGGGATTGAACTCAGACCCTTGCACTTGCCAGGGAAGTGCTTATTCCACTGAGCCATCTCCCCGGATCCCAGGTTCAGAGTCTTAAGACAACTAATTGCCTCGTTACATGTACTTATAATTTGAGGGAGAACTATCAAGACAAAATTTGGTACTGAGTAAAGTCAAACTAGTGACAAAACACTGTCAAACATATGTTGTCATCCAAGACTTATACTCAAAAAAGAAAACCAAGCAAGCACCCACTGAACGGAATTAATTATTTCTTAGTAAAGATGGTTAGTTTTGAAGGCGGAGACCACTTGTTAGAGGAAGCAGGGGTGCAGACTTCAGGGAACTGCTCTAAACCTAGTATCTGTGAGGCCAATAACTGGAAGCAGATGGTCTCTTCTTAAATCAGCCCAATAGAGTAACACAGATAATATTCCCAGATATTAACTCTAAGTCTTGCTATCCAGGAATTCTGAGAACCACATAATAGTCTTTAATACATCCTTTTTATGTTTTAAATTTGCTAGAGTAGCATCCATTGTTTGCAACAACAAAACCCTAATAATATTCTGCCTTTTGTCATTTTTTCCCTTGATTTATTAGTTATTTTCGTTCTACCCTTTTAAAACTTTTAAATTACGCATTAGTGTTTGGAATACTTTTAGCTGGACATAAGAAATTAGAAATAATCCATTTAGAGAAAAACTCAAAATTTTTCTCCACATTTCAACAAAGAATAGGGAAATCATGCCTAATTCAATGAATCTGAGGAAACACAATAGAAATTCTATAAGCATATTTAAATATTTTACTAACATTTAAACTCTTAGTTTTTTGTACTACTAGGAGTTAAACCCAGGGCCTTTACACTGAGCCACATCCCCAGTTACAACCACGCCCAGTGTTACGGTTTGTGCCTAGATGTTCCCCAAAAGCCTTAACTTTTAGAAGAGAATTTTTTCAGAGGTGGCTGTTTCTAGTGTGTGTGACTGACTCATGGTACAATGCTAGGATTAGGGGTGCTGTGGGATTAAGGGTGATGACAGCTGGATCAATTCACTGATTGGATTGGCATCACCCTAATCTTGGTAGATTGGATACAATATAAAGAACAGAAGGACATTTAAATATATTTACAAAAAGGTTTAAGTTGTTAAGTTCCCTAGGCTCAGTGCAAATGAGATCCTCCTGCCTCAGCTTCCCAGAATACTGAGATTACAAGCATGTGCACCATGCCCAACTTCATAGAGCAGACTGATGTTTACAGAAAAATTGTACAAAAAGTACAAAATTCCTGTATGTACCTCCATTCCAGTTTCTTTTCCTTCCTTCCTTCCTTTCTTCCTTCTTTCCTTCCTTCCTTTTTTCTTTCTTTGGTATAGGGTCTCGCTATGCAGCTCAGACTCCTGTCCAGCCTCCCAAGCATGGGGATTACAGGTGCACACCATCACACTTGGTTTCGGTAGCCAGCACGGCATGCAGTACCAGGGATCAAACCCGGGTCCTTGTACTTGCCAGGCAGGCACTTAAGACTGAGTTTTCTCCACAGCCCTCTACTGTTTTCTCTCACTATAATTTTACATTAATGTGGCATTTTATAACTGATGAACTAATACTGATATATGTAATGTTTAACTGAAGTCCACAGTTTACTCTGTGTTCTATATTTGATAAATGCATGTTATATATTAGTCATTACAGTATTATAAAGAATAGTTTTATTGCCCTAAAAATGTCTTGTATTTCACCTCCTACATCTCTTATCTTTATACTATATTTTCATAGTTGTTATGGTTTGTGTCTAGTTGTCCCCCCAAAGCCTCATGCAGTTATGGGGTGAGGACTTCTAGAGTTTGTGTTAACTCATGATCCACTGGGATTATGTGTGATCTAAGGCTGGGATTATGGGTCTTAGTACTGCTGGGATTACCCATAGGTGGGTGAGTACTGGGAAGTACCCATAGGTGTGAGTACTTCCCCTACCCTGGGGCA